TTTGGACATTTATTATCAGTTTGAATTCAGAGTTTGCAGATACTGTGAATTGAAAGGTACTCGAATGGTGATACAAGGCTTGATTCTGGAAAGCTACTATAACAAAATACTGCAGTATTGTCACAGTAATATCTACAGATTATATTTTGTGATGCAATGATTGAGAGCTATATTACAACAGCACTACATAAGGTGGACCATCACTTCTTTTCTTTTCCTGGTTCCCCATTTCCCTCTTCTTGGATAATGACCCCCATTATTAGAAGCCTTTCTTACCTTTTTTGTGCTGCACAGTAGCACTTTTTCCTTCCTCCCCTAGGCTACAATGATGTTGGACCCAGATGCCTACTGGGATGTCCATGCCAGGCAGCAGAGATTTGCTTATCTGCGCATGTGCAGGGATATTCCCGCACTTGCCACACTTCTGTACAAAGTACAATACAAGAAATGCATGTTGCACATGTATGCAGATGCTGTTTGTTTAGCTGCCACTGCAAAGCTGAAGGGTGGCACTGTCGCTGTGTCAGGTTAGTAGGGTGGAGGAGTGAGACTACGATTGTAAAATTGCTCACTCACTTCCATATTTGGGAAGTAAACAAAGCAGGCAACTGCTGTTGCTTACTTATGCTGCTAGGGAAGTCTGTCAGGGGACTGGTATGTCCTCTCTACAAGACTTCCCGACAGCCATCTTGAGGAAGCTTTGTGTCCTGAAGTTATTCCAAGATTTTGGTGCCCATCTTCAACCCAGATGGGATATACACTAATCAGTCATAACATTATGACCACCTGCGTAATATTGAGTAGGTCCCCCTTTTGCCACCAAACAGTCCTGACCCGTAGAGGCATGGATTCCACTAGAGAAAGTATCAAACTGCCTCTACTGGCTTGCCTTCTTCCCCTTGTGCATCCTGGTGCCATTGCTTCCCCAAGTAAGTGAAGCACACGCACCCATCCATCTACATGAAAACGTGATTCATCAAACCATGCCACCTTCTTCCATTTCTCCGTGGTACAGTTCTGATGCTCACATGCTTGTTGTAGACACTTTTGGCTGTGCACATGGGTCAGCATGGGAACTCTGACTTGTCTACAGTTACACAGCCCCATACACAAGAAACTGAAAAGCACTGTGTGTTCTAACACCTTTCCATTAGAACCAGCATTAACATTTTCAGGAATCTGAGCTACAATAGCTTTTCTTTTGCATCAGACTACACAGGCCAGCCTTCATTATCCACGTGCATCAGTTTGCCTTGGCCATTCATGACTCTGTGGCCGGTTGGCCAGTTTTCCTTTCTTGGACTACTTTTGGTAGGTCCTGACCAGGGGCGGACTGACAACTCATGAGGCCCCCAGGCAATAGGGGATCATGGGGCCCCTGTGTCCTCGCCCACAGTCAAATCACACCCAAAAAAGCCTATGAAAGGTACCAGGGACATCTCATGGGGCCCCCTACTGACCCTGGGCCCTCGAGCAGTGCTCGAGTTCCCAAATGGTCAGTCTGCCCCTGGTCCTGACCAATACAGACCAGGAACATCCCACAAGAGATGACCCAGTAATCTAGCCATTACAATTTGGCCCTTGTCAAAGTCACTGAAATCTTTATGCTTGCCAATTTTTTCTGCTTTCAACACAACACCCATTGTAATGAGATAATCAATGTGATCACTTTACCTCTCAGTGATCATAGTGCTATGAGTGATCAATGTACTGTATATCCTCTGCTGAGGCCATTCATTGGGTGTGTCCGCTGTGTGAATGTAGGTAGGAAGAGGAACCTGTCTTGTCAGGGACAGTTAGGTCTTGTACAGGGAAAGGCCAATAGCGTATAGGGAAAGTTTAGGGACCTTCTGGATCCTGCTCTTTTGTTCCTGGCCAGGTGAGAAGCACCCCAGATTTTGGTGGTGGTGAGTGTTAAGAATGCCTCTTACATTGGTGGTCAGTGGGAAAAGTACTCCTTACACTGGTGGTCAGTGGAAAGAATGCTCCTTAAATTGGTGGTCAGTGTGAAGAATACGCCTTACATTGGTGGTCAGTAGAAAGGATCCACCTCTTACATTGGTGGTTAGTAGTAGGAATATCTTCTACATTGGTGGTCAGTGTAAAGAATGCTTCTTATGTAGAGATGTGCTGGTTGCTTTAAATCTTAAACAGCAGTTGCAAAGCATTTTTTTTCTTTTCTCTCTTTGTGAGTGACAGAAAGGAAAAGCAGGACTGTGCTCTGATTGGTTGTTGCTACAGCTGAGCAGGATCCACCCATAGCAGCACTGTTGCAGTTGAACTTATGATTGGCTGTGGAGGAAAGGAGAGAGGAAAAAGGAAGAAGAAGCACATGTGGGGAAGGAGACATTTTCAGGGGACCGCATGGAGCAAGGGCTCCTGGTGTAAAGTCACAGAGTCTCACTCTCTGTGCTGCTAGAACCCATGGACTGGGCTGAAAGTGTGTAGCAGAGGAATTGTTGCAGGAGGACAGTGTGCAAATCAAGGATTGTCCTGCTTGATACTCAGGATTACAGCCACCCAAGTGCATGTGTCTCTCAAAGTCTGGAGCTGCTGAAAGAGAGAGGATTTCTACTACTGTTTAATGCTATCTAGAGGACAATCCAGAAACAGTGAGTACTCTGTGATGAAAGGGGATTTTGATACTGCTGCATTTGCTGTTCATCTCTGGAGAATGGTCATGAGAAAGCCTGCTCTCTAATTCTCAGAGTGACACAGATCTTGGAAAGCCCAAGCTGCTCAGAATTAGCTATTCCTGTTGCTGATTGATGAGAGAACTCTGTCTCTGTATATTACTGGTGATTGTCTCCTCAAGACTTGTGCTGTGGCTGAAGAGTGTGTTTGGTTTTAAGTCCCCACAGAAGCTTGCTGCTTTGAATATACTGAGCAAGTGTCAGTATATCAGGATTTCACCTGTATGGTAAAGATTTTGTTGAAGTGTTGTTTCTTTCTATTGCAATGTTCACTGGAAGATTCTGCTTAAAGGAGAGTGTGCTATCCTGCTACCCCTGGATTACAAATACTCTCCCACGCAGAGAGTGAGCGCTCTTCCATTGATTAAAGGGCCCCAACGTTGAGAGACTAAGTTTCATCCCACTGGCCAGTGGTTTAGTAGGATATTTCTGCTCTAGATAATACTGCTATAACAAATGTCAATAAGCTGCTAAACCTCATTAACAGTTATTGTTTCATGTGTCAATGTCACTCTCATGTGATACTAGTCAGTTTATGGAGCCTTTGGCGAGTGAAGAGTGATTTCTTACTAACTGTGTTATGCAAAGTGGTATCTGTGTTTTATGTACATTATCTGTGTTAAATCAGCTAGTTCTTTTTCAGGGTTTGTCCTCTTCAATAAAACCCATAAAAAATATTCTCAGAGTGTCGAAGTGTTCTGGGTATAATCGGAGGTGTCACCAGATTCAGGTGGGAGCTGAACCTATATATCTAGCCAAGCATCACCCAAGGGTGTGCTACACTTAAATTGGTGGCTAGTGGAAGAATGTTCTTTACATTGGTCATCAGTGGGAAGAATACCACTTACATTGGTGGCCAGTGGGAAGAATGTCTCTTACATTGGTGGTCAGTCATTCTTTCTAATAACCAACAATGTAAGGGACATTCTTCCTAATTACCACCAACGGAAAGAACATTCTTCCCACTGAACACCAATGTGAGGGGCATTTTGCTCACTGACCAGCAATGTAAGGCGCATTCACCACATTGGTGGTCAGCAGGAAAAATGCTCCTCGCATTGGTAGTCAGTGGGAAGAATGTTCTTCCTTACATTGGTGGTCAGTGAGAAGAATCCCCCTTATACTGTAGATAGCTAAAAAGATCATGTTGTCAGTTGTTACTTATCTGACCGGTAGACATTGCTCATTGCTCAAGGAACCCTAGTAACCTCTAGAGGAACTGTAGGGTTCCATGGAACCCTGGTTGAGAAAGGCTGCTATACTTGGGTCAGTTTACAATGAATGCAAAAGTTAAGGAGGCTACATGTTTATGGCTAGCCTTAGGATTACCAGACACCTCCCCACTATGTTATGTAGATGAGGGGAGGGATCATAGTTCTGTAGTCCTGTCCTAGGGTGACAGCTGTTTTTTATGGGATTAATGACCATGGCTTTTACATGTGCTAGCTTTGTAGGCAGGGGTGGACTGACCATTTGGAAACTCGGGCACTGCCAAGGACACAGGGGCCCCATGATCCCCTATTGCCCGGGAGCCCCATGCGTTGTCAGTCCGCCCCTGTTTGTAGGTAATAACACAACAAATAAGCAGGTATAGAAAACCATGGTTTGTTGAGTCTGTTTAAAACAGATTTCAGGTTTATTTTTCATGTATGGAGGGTACTTAAAAGAGGAGCTCCAGTCATATCTGTGTTTATTAAAAGTCAACACCTACAAAACCGTAGCTCTAAAAAAAACAGCCACTCACCTGTCCCAGGATCCTGCAGTGTACTCACCCGAGCCTTTTTTTCTGTCGGTCTTCTGTCCCAGGCACTGGCATCACAACTGCGGGCACCCGGTTGTGATAGCTTGCAGAAGTGGGAGCAGGTACCTGTCAATACCAGGCACCCACTCCCCCCCCCCCAAAAAAAGTGCCATTTTCTAAAGAGGAGGGGGAGGAGGCCTTAAAGCGGAACTATTGCTTTGGGTGAAGCTCTGATTTAATATGTTTATTATACATTTTAAAGCCTTTTTAAACATATAGTACTTTGTATGACTTTGTTACACACATAGCAATCAAAAAAGGAACAAGACAAATGGATATCCTGAAAACCCAGTGTTTGTGTGGCTCCCATCCATTCACACATAGGTGTCTTTCCTTTTCCAGCCCAGCTGCTTGTGCACATATTTACACTAGTGAGATTAGCTCCCAGATTGTGTCTCCGCCCAGCACAGCACCAGCAGTACTTTTGTCGTCCCTTTATATATATATACTTCTCAGTGCCTGAGGACAGCCACCAGCCCCGCACTGTCACACTCAGAGCAGGCATCATGTCAGGAGTTGCAGCCAAACTAGCCAAAGACAGGGCTACAGCCGACGGAATCGGTACACCCAAGAACCCGGTGAAATACCTAAACCAGAACTATGAGCAGCTACAAGCGCAGTGCCTGGCATCCAACACGCTTTTCAAAGATGATCAGTTTCCTGCATGCCCCTCCACCCTGGGGTATAAAGATCTAGGACCATTTTCCGCGAAAACACAAGGGATTGTGTGGAAAAGGCCGACGGTATGTCAATTTTTAAGTTGATTTCATTTTCTTAATTAGTTGTCACTTTAACAAAAACGTGTAAGTAGAGGCTGGCCTTTGGAGTACTCCCCAAAATCTTGTCCTGAAAATGTAACTGTTAGGGCAAAGCAAAAAGTGCCCCAGATAGTTGTTTTTTGTTGTAAGTGTCCTAATACGGCTACAATCACCTTTATCCCGACTTCACAGCAAATTCAGCTTTGAAATTGCACGTTTCACCACAGTTTTAAAGCCGACGATGAGTGCGACTTCATATGCGACTTGCTGACAGCTGTGCGACTTCATGCACAGATACCAATGCAAGTCGCACATTACATCACAAAAAATAGTGCAGGGACCTTTTTCAAAGTCGCTCTGATTTGAATGGTTCCATAGCCACAAATAGGGTGCGGCTTGTCATGCGACTTTGATCTGTCAAGTCACATGACAAGTCGCACCATTGTGAACCAGGGATAAAGAAGAACTATTATATTTTTTTTTTTTCTTTGTTCTGTCTCTTATGGGACAAAGTACATGTAGTGATTTCTCCCATGTTGCTAGGTGCTTCTGAACCCTATCTTTTAGGTTTACCCTGCACCCCCTCCTCTCCTGCCATAGCTGATCTGACAGTAGCTCAGAAGGGGACTGATGCTTCATATTAGAAGGTTGTCTTGGCTCTGAGCATTTTCCAGAGACAAGCAGTGGTGTGGCAAGAAGAATGCAGAGGCTGACACAGCCCCCATCCCTGTGCATGGAGCAAAGTACTACATGTAGTACTGTCATAGAGGTCAGAATAGTAAAAAAAAAAAAATATAATGATAGCTCTTCTTTAATTAGAGACTGGAAATCCAAGTGTAACACATTACCAAATTTTGGGGTCTGTTACATACTAGAGGGAATTTACTAAAACTTGTGCACTCAGAATCTGGTGCAGCTGTGCATGGTAGCCAATCAGCTTCTAACTTCACCTTGTTCAACTAAGCTTTGACAATAAAACATGGAAGTTGATTGGTTTCTCTGCAGAGCTGCACCACATTTTGCACCATGTGGTTTTAGTAAATGAGCCCAAATGTGTGGATCAAGACACCCGTTATGTTTAATGAGATAGGTAACTGTAAATTAATTAATCATATAAAAGCTAAAGTGTATGTAAATCCTAACAGGATGCATCCACTGTTCAGGTGCTTGGTGCTGCCAATAGTGCAGGTTCTTACATACATCCACGCTGTTCCTTTGTGGTTGAATGAGAAAAATCTACACGTGTATGTTTCCCCTTAGGAATACAGATACCCTCCCCACTATGTTATGGAGGTGAGGAGAGGGGGGGGGGGGGGGGAGTCCTGTAGTCCAGTTCTAAGGTGACAATGCTGCCTCTATAAAAATACAGTACTTTAAGACAGTGTTGTTAACCAAGGAAAGGAATCAGCATTTTTATGCAAAATGAATATGGGGCTATTCATGCATCCTAAAGCACTATTTGTGTTCAACCAGCGGAGTAAATGAGAAAAACTGACTCGCCTCCCCTTTCCACACATTCAAAGTGAATAGGGGAATCCTCCCAAATTGTATTCTGACAGCTGGGTGGCTGTTCAGTGCTGCCAGCTATAGCCTATGCCACCACTGTCCCCATACATAGATCAAAATTCAGCCGGTCTCTGATGAACTGGCCAAATTTCGATCCATGTATGGCCGGCTTGGGTCTCAGAGCAATACAATATCCAAACATCATCTCTTATACAATGTATCAGCTGTGATCATATGCAAAGTTTACCCAGGTCAAGTTAAAAACATCAAAATGCCAGTGTAACAAAAATGTGTTTCTTTTCATCAGCAGAAAAACAAAACGCTTCATGGAGGGAAACAATAGAGCCAACGTAGTATAATTCATACTTTCCCATTGCGTTATCAAGATGCGACATAAGTGATTGTATATGTACAGTGGAAGATTGGTCTGATAAAGTAACCCTGTGATGTGCACCTTTCATATTTCTGGCAAACCTTTACATAAAAACAGGGATTCTATGTTTGTCTATATTGCAATACATGTTCAAGCTCACCAACTGCGTCAAAGTGATCCCTCTTTGGCCAGTCACTACTAAACTCTGCAAAATATCAAATACTTATTGCATTACAGCATACTTTATTGGACATACTGTATATTGCCAATATGGGGACACAGGCATGAGTGGAAGTGAGCTACAGACTCAGGTCTGGTCACTGACCTGTTCTATTCAATAGATATGGAGGATGTAATCACGTAAGGATTTGAGGTCAGACATATTTCATGCATTTCTGTTAAAGCCCATTTCAGGCAAAATTTTAAATTTTCCCTTGCAGTGGGGTTGCACCAGCATTGCAAGGGTTAATTATTATTATTATTATACAGTATTTATAAAGCGCCAATAGTTTGCTCAGCGCTGTACATTACAAAGGGGGACAGAACATGTGACAGAACAATACCAATACAATGCAAAACATGAGGGGATCGAGGGCCCTGCTCTTTCGAGCTTACAATCTAGGAGGGAGGGGATGGTGGCACAGGAGGAGATAGCTGTGGGGGATGGAGTGGTAGGAAGAGTAGAGGAGGTCGGCAAGTTAGCAGGGGGTGGGGTAGGCTTCCCTGAAGAGGTGGGTTTTCAGGGTGCACCTAAAGGAGAGGAGAGTAGGTGATAATCTGATGGGTTGGGGCAGGGAGTTCCAGAGGATGGGTGACACCGGAGAAGTCCTGGAGGCGGGCATGGGAGGAGGAGACCAGGGAACTAGAGAGAAGGAGGTCTTGTGAGGAGCAGAGTGTGCGTGCTGGGTGGTACTTGGATATTAGGTCAGTGATGTAGTTCAGGGCAGTATGGTGGACAGCTTTGTACGTCAGTATTAGGATTTTGAATATGATCCGTTGCGCAATCGATTACTTGTTTAGGACTAGGAGATCCGTTCCTCCACTCCTCCATGTTTCTAGACCAGTTGCTGAAGCATATTCTCCCCCATGCTCCACCAGTCATCATCAAGACCATTGCAGGGTCCATAGCCCTGCTCTCGACATGGTGATGCCCAGGGACAGTCCACTGTTAAAACATGGGGCATTTCCATCTGCTTGGGGAGCGGAGGATCAGGTAAGGTAAAATGCAAAAACAGGAAGTGAGGGGAAGGGTGCTGGAGCCAAGACATCGTTGGAGCAATGACAGGAGCCAGGTAGGTATTTAGGGATAAGGGTGGGTAGGACACATAGTTGGGTATTTTTTACATTAATGCAGATAATGCATTAAGGTTAAAAAAAAATGTAGTCTTTAGAACCACTTTAAGTAATTGATCAACCTTGACCACTTTGCCAGGCTCATCCGGCTACTTTAAGACATGGGTGAGCATGGTATTTAAACCTTCGTCTAGCTGGTTGAAATATCACATGCATCCTGTCTGATTGTGATGTATATCTTAACCTTTTACTCACATAGTTCTCTCTTAATGCAATTAAAGCTGTTAAGCTGGCCATACTGTACATAGAACAAAATTTGGCCAGATCAGCAAGCACCAGCTGAGATTCAATCCATGTATAGGCAGGCTGATAGTATCCAAGTCAATCCATCGATCAACTTGGGTACTACCAGCCTGTAGCATTTTTCTACATGTGATTACTGAAGTGTTCTGTCCACAAACATCAATTGTGAAGGTCTGACAACGTTTGAGATTTCAGTCAAGCATTGTAAGTTCACTACAATACATTTCAATGATTTCAGTGGAACTGAACTCAAAAAGTGAAGATTTTCTAGGTTATAGGAATCATAAAGAATTTGTCTTAAATCCTTCCTGAAAAACAGCAGTGCACGTCCTGGTATGTGATGGTGCCTGTGCCTTTAGCTATTTATCCGCAGCGGGAGATCTAAGGCACTGCTGCTTCTAACTGATAATCTTGGAAGATCTGAAGTGAGATTTGGTCATGCTGCTGCAGCGCTGATCACTGCTCTCCTTGCTGGAGGTGCTGACATGAGGAAGCAAAGCCCTCCTCTACCAAGAAGGTAGCCTCCACAGAGAGGCTGCACAGAACAATGCATGGTAGGTCAGTAAAAGGAAAAAGATCGCCTGCAGGGAGACCACAGGCAATACTGGTGACTAGTCCTTTGCCCTCTATCTACTGTTTTTTGGGGACACAGCTTTCACAGTTCAGTTCTCTTTAAAAGGTATTAGAAGGCAGCAATGGGAGAAGTTATTTGTTAAGGTTTACATACACATTAATGTCAAAAACAAATATTAATCTTAAATCATGAAAAATCATACTAAAATAATTTGTTATATTACTTTTCACTGAGAGTCAGTGAATGGGAGGATAATCTGACCGCCTGCCTGTTGAGTGTATAGAAGGTGTGTCTGCTAATACTACATTTCTACTGACAAGGATTTGATAAGAAATACAGATCTGACCCTGAGGCCTCAAGACCTTACCACAGTATTTTTGAGAAATTTTACCTGGGAGTAACCCTTGAAATAATTTTCAGATTTCAGGGAACCCTTGATAAAATTGGTATATCTACAACTCACAGGACATTAATTTGATCATTAAGATGTAGATAATACTATATATAATTATAAATAAAGGCGTTTGAATGTGGCATATCTAATGTATCATGTTTTAACACTCATATGCTGGATATGACAAAATTATTTTCTAAATAAAACCAAAATGACAGACATAACAACCAGAAAAGGAATGCAGAACATTTTAGTGGACCCTTTGGTGATCATTTGTAAAGGGTTTCTTTTCACTTGTGGTCATTGGGAAAAATGTCCTCTTACTATGATTGTTAGTGGGAAAAGGCCCCCTTACATTAATGGTCAATGGAAAGAATTCCCCCTTACACTGGTAGTCAATGGGAAGAATGCCCCTCTTTCAATTGTTGCCAGTGAGAGAAGGACACCTTATATTAATGGTCAGCGATAAGAAAACTCCCTTACATGGGTGGTCAGTGGGAAGAAGAGGCCTTACATTTGTGGTCAATGGGAAGAATGCCTCT